ATTCGTTCACATTTAGGAATTTCTCCTCAGCCTATTAATTTAAGGGTATATTCCCCCAATGTACTAACATTAACACTTGTTGACTTGCCCGGTCTTACAAAGGTATAATTTAAACATTTAATCGTAAAAGCTGTTTTTCACTATTCCTTAATTAATCATTAAATATTAAATAATTAAGGTTCCTGTTGGTGACCAACCAAAAGATATCGAAAAACAAATTCGTGAAATGATATTGAAGTATATTACTAAGCCAAATGCTATTATTCTGGCAGTCACAGCAGCAAACTCTGATTTAGCGAATTCTGATGGGTTGAAAATGGCTCGTGAAGTTGATCCCGAAGGTATTTAACGTTCCGGTATTAAAAACACAATTTCCTTAATTGTTATGTTAATTTTTTTATTTTTTTTTTTTATAATTTAGGATCACGGACAGTTGGTGTTCTTACAAAAATAGATCTTATGTGAGTCCATATATTGTTTGCTTGATGCGTTCTTGACTTTCTCTAATATATATATAATTTCTCTAAATAGGGATCAAGGAACAGATGTTGTAGACATTTTGGCTGGACGTATCATTCCTTTAAGACTCGGTAAGATTATCGTACTAACACGTTCACATGAAATCTTTCAACTTACATTATAAATATATACATATTACATAGGTTATGTACCTGTTGTGAACCGTGGTCAAAAGGATATTGACACCAGAAAAGCCATCTCAGCGGCTTTGGAAAATGAACGTCTATTCTTTGAGAATCATGCTTCGTATAAGAGCAAGGCACAGTATTGTGGTACACCATATCTTGCTCGTAAATTGAATATGGTGATTGTTTTTCAACTATTTTTCTGGATAATAAATTTTTATTCTCATTCTAATATTCATTGTTTTGATATAGATACTTATGCATCATATTCGTAATACACTTCCTGAAATCAAAGCCAAAATTCAAGCAGTGTTAGCGAAATATCAATCTGAATTGCTAACGCTTGGTGATCCTATAGACGATGGTGGTCATAATCATGCCAACCTTGTTCTTAATATTATCACTGAATTTTGTTCTGAATTTCGTACTATTCTTGATGGCAATTCCAATGAATTATCGTCATTTGAGTTATCAGGTGGTGCACGTATAAGCTTTGTTTTCCATGAAGTTTATTCAAATGGTGTGAAGTCAATAGATCCTTTTGATCAAGTGAAAGATGTTGATATTAGGACAATTCTCTATAATTCATCGGTAAATTGAAATTATTTAATTTATTAGAGTACCATCGTATTTTATCATTCTAATTACAATATTTTTAACCTTCGTAAAATAGGGTTCATCTCCAGCTCTTTTTGTTGCTACAACTGCATTCGAAGTCATAATTAAGCAACAAATAAGACGACTTGAAGAGCCGAGTTTGAAATGTATAACGTTAGTTTATGACGAACTAGTCCGTATTTTGTCGCAACTGTTGCAGAAGCCGGTAAATAATATGATTTTTTATATATCACTTTGTACACTTGTACACTTTTAATACATGCATATGTTTAATGTTTTGGTCTCAACTGCAAATCGAATGTTTTACAATAGATATACAAACGATTCCCAGGTTTAAAGGAAAAATTTTCTTCCGTTGTAGTTAATTTCTTTAAAAAAGCTATGACACCAACAAATAAGCTTGTCTCGGATCTTGTAGCGTAAGTTCTTTAAACATTATTATGTATCATAATTCCATTATTCTATATTTACGAATTAACAATTACAATTTATCAACAGTATGGAAACATGTTATATAAACACTGGGCATCCTGACTTTATAAATGGTCATAGAGCCATGACGATTATTAACGATAAATTGAACCCCAAGCCAACAGTACCCGTTGACAATAAGGCCCGAGGTACATTGAATAATCTTACAAATCCATTAACCGATCCTGAGCCTGCCAACACAGGATTCTTTGGAAGTTTCTTTACTGCGAGTAAAAGGAAAAAGCCAGGCGTTATGGAAACGGTATGAATAAATTGTATTAATAATTTTATTAGACCATAACAATATAATAATAAAATCATTATAATATTTTTTTTTCGATGTTTAGCCGCCACCAGTTCTTAAAGCTTCCGGAAACCTTTCTGAACGTGAAATTGTTGAGACAGAAGTGATCAGTAATTAATATTTTATATGCTAGATAGAATGTTTGATTTATTCACATCATAAATTATTCATTTAATTTTATTTTTTTTTTTATTTTTAGAATTACTTATTCAATCATATTTCAATATTGTGAAAAAAACCCTTGTCGACATGGTACCGAAAGCGGTCATGCTTAATCTTGTTTATCACGCAAAAGAAGAACTTCAGCGTGAATTATTGCAAGAATTATACAAAGCAGATGTCTTGGATGAATTACTTAAAGAAAGTGATTATACACAACAAAGACGTAAAGAATGCAAGAAGATGATTGAAGCTTTACAAAAGGCTGATGAGGTATTTAAGAATAATCTGGGATATTCTAACTTTATTTATAAATTATTTATTAATTATATAAAATATTTTTATAGATTGTATCTTCCGTCTAAGTTCACAGATCAATTATCAAAATCTGGGTGAATTTATTTAAAACATATATATATATATGGGAGAAAAGTAATATTTTAGAAGCACATATATATATGTATTAAAGAATATGACTTTGTAATATTTTATTATTATTATTGTATTGTATTTATGGGTAGATACGGGCTGTTATATCAAAGTTTGAGATTTAGTTGGTTTTCTATATTAAATTTGGGATAAATGCTCTTAATATTACATAAATATCACATAACTAGTTTATAAATATAGACCTCTTTATTATGACATTTGAATAGACTTGTTATTCTGTATAATAAATAAAGTACAGTTTTCAAGTGGATGCTTACAAGTAATCTGTTTACTCTATTAAATTAAGTATTTTCTATTATTAACATTATTTTATCTATTGTTCATGGTTTATTTAAAGGACCTGGAATTCCCATAAAAAGGTACATGTAATTAATCACCAATCCAGACGAAGCAAATCTAAAAAAGAAACAAAATTCTTTGATTAAATATCTTATAACTAAAATTTATGATATAAAGAAATATAATTACAGAAGACTAGTTAAAGCAGAAGTGCGTCCGTTATTTGGATCCTGATCGGAAGCTTTCTCATTAGTTATAGAAACGACTGCAAATATCAACGCTAACCAAGTTGCCCATTTTATCTAATAAAATGAATTTTTTTTTAATTAAATAAAAAGAAAAAAAAACCGTGAAAATTTACAAAGTTTATCTCCTACCTTTGCGATTAAACCTATAGTGCCTATATTGATATATATAAATAAATATATATATATAAAATGAGTAAATGAAAGCACGCGTTTTTGTAAAAATATATGTAAAAACCAGACTCACTCAATATTAATGAAAATGTTCCAAAAAGATCGGGGTCAATTTCATCAAGTGTTTTTATAGCAGGATGGTACGGAACAATTGAGTTGGGACGTTTTGGGTCTGAAGTTGTTGAAGTAACTGACATTTTTATTATACCAAAGAAATCAATGAAATACTTAAAAAATCTGTCAAAACAACAAAAAACACTGGACTATCGATCAGCAAAATAAATGTTACAAATAAAAAAAAAATAATTTTCTCAACTAATTCGATAAAGTAATATTTATATTTTATTATTTGAATCTAACAGAATAATTTTTTTTAATTTTTAATTTGATATTTAATAAATTATTCATATCATCCAAATATTATTTTCTCTAAAATTATTATTTAAACATAATATAATTTGAAGCAAAAAGAAGCAAAGCCATTACAAAAGATAAATATATGTTTATAACAAGAAATATTAGAATAGTATTTTTTATATATATATATACTTAATTTATAATTACGTTTGATTTTTTAAAGATTTATTAACGTTAATACTTATTTAAGTTAAAAATTAAAATATCCATAAATTATAAAAGATAAAAACTTAAATAATATTATAATAAAAATTTTCAACATTTACTTAGAAAACATCATAAAAGCTTATAAATCTTAAAAGATTTTAAGATAAACGAAAATTTCTTTTAATAATATTAAGTATAATAAATAACCATAAAATATTCTAAGAAGATTTTTAAATTCTTTTAAAATCAGCAATTTAATAATTAATTTTTATATTTTCAATAAACTGATATTCCTATTTAAAGATAAACTAAAAACCGCTTTTTGATAGTCATTTGACTAAAAAGGAAAAAATAGAGGAAGGTCTTATTTGAACCCTGAAGGTTCAAGGACGCTCATTTAAACAACCAATTAGAATCCATTAAATCTATCACGTGAGAATACAAGACGTAAATACATATTATCAAAACAAAAAAAAAAAAGCCTCAAAAGTTTATTATAACCCCTTTATTAACTCCGTTATCCTTAATTCTTAAAAAGTTTTTCAAAAAAAATCTCAACTTGAATCTTTTACCATTATAACCCTGTTGAACCATAACTTAGTTCAAAACTTCTAATAAGTTTTGGAATAATAAAATATCTTTCTTTTAAAAAAAGATCTTGAATTATTCTAAATTTTGAATAACGATATTTTTGTTTTATAAATAGTAAACTTATTCCATCTACTTCTAGATTCCGGAATTAAATGAGTTAAATTGTTTGCTACAGCTCTTTAAAATCTCTCCTCTCTCGTAAAATACCTTCAATAAGGCAAACTGAACAAAATTATGTCTTCTGCTGCAGTCAGACCAAAAGGACGAAGACAAGAAAGTTATCAATCCTTTTCAAACTCGAATCCAAGGTATGAAAAGTCTTATTCGCTTACTTTAAGCGCGTGCTTTTCACGATTTTACGCGCAGTTAAGCATTAAAAACAAAGAATTCAATTAGCACAAGATTTAACAAAAGCTTATTTGTTTAATTAGTCACAATAATCGAACTCCCAAAAAATGGAACAATAACAACAACAATAATAATAATCAACATCCTGTCAATATGGCACCGAGAAATCATCCGATTCCTTCACAAGCACAACCAACTGTAAACAATCACCATCATAATAATAATACTCTAATATCGTCGGGACAAAACAATGTTAAACCCGTTGAGCAAACGGTACACGACGAAGTTTCCTCTGAGCATATGCATGATCGTTTAATGTTTTTACTTGTAAACTTTATTGTATGTAATTCATTTAAATACAATTGACAAACTTATGTGTTATTTCAACTTGGAATAAATAATAATCATTTTTTATTTATTTCTATCTAGGGTATGAATGTTTTAGTAACAGTTAAAAATGGGGCAAAATATCAAGGGTTATTAAAAACGGCTAGTACGAATGGAGAATTAGGTGTTGTATTAAAAATGGCTCGTAAAGTGTTGACGAAAGCTGAAGAAAAGACTGTACAGAATCGTGTTATACCGACATACATTATAATGGCAAAAGACTTAATGGAAATTCATGCATGCGAGGTTGATTTTTCTGCATGCGAAAAATTGTTGTCAGAGCGTGAAGGTATCTAAATATTTTTTTTTTTTAAAGTAAGAAGACATTATAAAAACAATTATTTACACGTGTTTATGACAGGATCAGGAGCTGTTTTTTTGACTGATACAGATATCAGTGGTCGAGTAGAGGGTCGATTAGAGTTTCGAGAACGTGAATTACGTAGATGGACTCCAGATGATTCAGGGGAGATGATTGAGGGCTTAGAATATCCTTTTTCTTAATTTACATGATTTATAATTTGTTCGTCGTTTATTTTTTTCATTCTTATTATTTTCTTAATTCCTTCACACGGACGATATAAACCAAGACTCAAACAATGTGTCTTGGGATCAGTTTGCAGTAAATGAACAATTATTTGGTATAAAGACAGATTTTAACGAAGAAATATACACTACAAAGTTAGACCGGTCAAGGGCTGATTTTAAAGAACGGGAACGTCAAGCCATCGCCATAGCAAACGAAATCACAAGGGTATTTATTATTACCTTGCAGTTATAAAATATATTTGTCATAAAAAACTAATTATGAAATTATGAAATTCTTTTTTTTTTAAAAAAAAATTTTAACAGTCGTCTACAACAAATGTTCACATGCTCGAAGAACGTGGCATTATGATAGAGGAAAGCCAAATGGATGAAGAAGACAAGTTAGAAAATTTTTTTTTTGTCAAATAATAATATTTACAATTACAGTATCGTTTCATCATTCTATTTATTTCAACTATTTGCTAGATATGGTGCGGTTGTTCGAAGTCGCGATCCGAGCAAATATATGCCGCCACAGCTACGAAAGTTACAAGAGCAACAATTACAACAACATACTGGACCATCCCCTGTTGCCAAAAAATCTGAGCCGAGCAAAGAACCTGCGAAAGAAGTGATAAGTCCTGGGACAGAGACTAAACCCGTAAAGCAAGCACAACCACCGACGACAACAACAACGACGACGACGACAACAACAACGGCGAATGCTACTACCGCAGTATCCTCAGCAGCTACTTCAGCACAAAATGTTCCCTCATTTTCATCTAACTCGTCATTAGTACAGTTCCGTATTCCCGAACCTGTTGCTGCTTTACTTAATTCACACACGCCGAGGGTACGTTATTATAATATTGAATATCTAATATTACAAGAAATTTAATGTTTTTTTTCACTTATAGAAAACCGGTATTGATGCGGAGGGTAAACCTATCGAAGGTATTTAAATTAATTATACATGTATTTGTCAATATAAGATGTTTTCATGCTTACGTATGCTATAATTTCATTAAAATTTCTCAGCGCAAATTGTCACGACATTCAGGAAGTTTGCTACAAATGAGAAAGAACGTTTACAACAAAGGAAGCAGGCAATAGCTAGAAAGGAAATGGATGGAAAGATGGCGGAATTACTCAAGTGGGGTCAAAATTTTAAGGTTAGTTTATTAATGGTTTCAATAAATTATAAATAGTTCGATATTTAACGTTTCAAAATATTATTATTTTAGTTGAATTCACCATTGCCACAAGATCTTATTCCTATATTGACTAAAGATGAGGTTAAACGACAACAACTTGCAGCTAAATCTGTTTCTTCCTTGAACGAAAAGGGAAAAGAAAAAGATTCTGAGAAGCAGAAAGATAATAAGGAAAGGGAAAAGGAAAAACCGCAGGATAAAGAGAAAGAGAAGGAAAAACAACAAGAAAAGGAAAAGGATAAGGATAAAGATAAGGATAAGGATAAACTTAAGGAAAAAGACAATAAACCTAAAGAAAAAGTTATCCCTGCCCAAAATTTGGAACCAAAATCAGAGTCTCGAAAACCAGAAATCAAAATTGAAGAGGATAAATCTCATAAAACAAACGGAGATTCAACAGAATCTAAGTCAGCAAATGATAAGAGTTCCGATAAATCTATATCTGCAGCTGATAAAGCTCCGCTACAATTTCCTCCTGGTCGTACGACTGCTACAACACCGACAAATTCGCAATTTAAACTTAATGCAAAAGCATCTGAATGGAAACCTAATCCTAATGCGGCAAGTTTCACACCGGTACGGCTTTTACGTATCAAGTTTATTTTTTCTTGTTGATTTGTTTATTTCGTTTATTACGTTTGTTAGTGATTTGTTCTTAATTTTTCTCTTATTTATTTCTTATAGATTACTCCAAATACGCAAGATAAAAGGTCTCCAGGATCTGTATGTAAATTTTTTTAAAAGAGTTTTTTTTTTAAATATAATGATTTTATTAGTTTGCTAAATTCCTCAAAATTAATCCATATAGTCTCCATTTTTCGGTAATCGGCAGTTGAAGAAAAATACTGCTACACTCAGAGACGGATTTACTCCTTTCCAAAAAAGTAAAAACTTAGCTAATCCTAGTTCAATACGTAAGTAAGATATTTTATTTTTTTGATTAGATGCTACTTATATTAATTAGGCATTTGTTTATTAACTTAAATTTTCGAATTTGACGATAGCGCCAACTTGGCCATTTGGTCAAAGACCTTTCAGACATCATTTTTCCGTTACAAATAATTATGATGAAGATATGTATTCACAAGCCGCCGTCACTCAAGGATTTGGTTTTGCAGCATATCCTGTTACTGGACCATACCGATATCCTCCAAACGCACAATTTGTTAGTGTTCCACCTATTCCAATTCAACAAGGCGCTCCTATACCACCATATATGCAACCAGGGGTTAGTATAATCTATTATTCAAAACTTCATTCTCTGAATATTAATAACGAAAAATTTTCCCATCAGCAATTTGTCCCAGGCATGCCTTTTACTACAGCACCTATGCCTCCCACTGGCGCACCACGTAAGTATTTATGCAAGTTGTCGGTTTAATATTAACGAATGATCTAAATTAATATTCAAATATTTCACATGTTAGCTATGTATAGTGCACAACTTCCTTCAGTGATGCCACGTATGTGATCAACTCAATTTTCTTTTTGAAATCCGATATTAATAATGCGATTGACATAATTTTTTTTTATAATAGAACATTTTGGTTCACAAGGGTTCCCATCTCCTGGACGTACGCCAATGGTACCCGCTACTATCCATCCACAAATGTATCAACCATATCAAAATCCACATGGTAGGTTTTACAAGATTTCATAGTTGAATTAATAATGATGCTAATTTGTTTGATCTCAATAAAATTGTAGCCATGCCACCCATGATACGATATCCACACGACATGGTCCAACACGTTTCACCAAATGGTGTGATGATTGGTCAGAGGCCTATGATGATGGAACCACATTACTTACAACAACCCGAAGCTGCACCGATGGGTAATTGTTTTATTTCATATAATCATTTCTTTATTTCAAAAAAAAATTAAATTAATTAAGAGCGCGCAAACAATGCAAAGAAATAAGGATATTACTGATCAAATTTTATTAATTTTTTTACTAGAAGGTATGCCAGTTACAGAACCAACGACAATAAATCAATAAACAATTTTTATAGCGTGTAAAATTGGAATTTAATGAGGGCAGGGTTTATATATTAAATTACGAACATTTATTCCTGGTCTTCAATTTATTCTTTATTCCTTAAAAGGTTAGCCAAAAAAAAGCAATTTTTTTTAATCTTGGTAAAGCGAGAAATTTGGAAATATTGTGAACGTCTAAAATAATTACTTCGGATGTGAACATGAGAGTCGAGGAAATTTTTTATTTTGATATAAAATGAGAGCTTTGGATGACCGAGTTCTATATAATAATACGTGTAACTTAAAAAATTCCTCAAGACATTATATTAACATCCAATTTTGTATAGTATTGAACCAAAAAAAAAAAAAAAAAAACAAAAAACAAAAAACAAAAAGTTTATGGCATTAAATGCCATGGATGAAAGAAATGTGCACCTTTTTTTCTCTTTTTTTTTTATTTTTTTTTTTTGAATGAATGAATTTTACAAGATTTAAGAATAGTAAGATCATTACGAAAAAGCGAAGCTAAATAATATTTTTTACTTATCGCAAATAAATGTAAATAATTTCAATGATAAATAAATTGCTTTATATTTATAGCGTAAGTTTATGTTAGAATGTTAGAATAAAAACATGGCCCAAACAAAATTTAAATAATACTATTTCTTTTTATTTCTATCAAAATTATTATCCTTGATTAAGTCCCTCCTTTGTTTTCTATGATATTGTCTTGAATGGACATCGTTACGAAGTTGTTCTTCCTTTTCTTTATCCAATATTTCCCATAGCCAACCAGGATACTCGTCATCAGGTAATGCTATTGGGTCTGCACCATTTTTATAAAAATTTAAACCTTTGAGAATTGTTCCTGCAGGGGCAATAGATTGAATTTGTTGCGGTTTTAATTTCGATTCTTTTTAAATGTAATTACAATTCGAAAGTTAGTAAAATATAAAAGATCATCCATTAAAAAAAAATACAATTAAATTATACCTGAAGAATAACTGAACGTGTTTGAAAATGAAAGTGGACGAAAATTTTTATGATTTGGTTTATAAATAAGAGAGGAAGCTCTTAATTTACTTGGTACCTTATTCATATTTTAAGGTTAATTATGATTGATTTTGGTTTTAGAAAATTAATAAAAATAATCCGAGATGATAAAGGGAAACCGAATGAGGGGAAACTGTACAATTCCATCGGTTTATTTTTTCATTAGCACATTTTTTAAATTTTTTAAAGTTCGTATTTCTATAAAAAACGTATCTTTTTTATCACGTGAGCCTGTTAGCCTGTTAGCCAACCAATATTGCATCTTAAAAATTAAGCAAGTTCGGTATATTATCATGTGATAGACTTAAGCCTTCCTTTTTACTTATTCTAAAAATTGACATAATATCATAGCAAACAGTATTTGAGCAAATGTCTCAACAAACTTTGGAACAATCGGAAGCTTTGGTTTTTAATAATATGGTTCTTTACCCAATGAACCCCGATCTGAATAATACGCGCCTTTGGCTTCGCAATGCTCTAGCAAACGCTTCGGTATTTCTCGCCAATTTTTTAAAAGTCAGTTACACTTTTGATTTCTTTCACCACAACAATTTTTATTTTCAGTATGTACATTCAGACCGAGTGTTTCGGGACGTTGATGATACATTGGCAATATTTAGAGCTTTGATGCTAAAAACCGAGAAATATAGTAAGTAATTAAAAACATTTACTTGATCAACTGAAAGATATTAGCTATGATACTTGGATATCTTGAAGCTAAAGAGGTTATAAGTTCGAACAATATTAAAGGTATCGAAGGCCATTAAGGATTACTTAGAAATTACAAAAGGATTATAGTTTATTCATTCATTAGAATATCCAAAGATTAAATTGAGATATATAGGACCGAAGACGTTTAATATAATTCTCACAATAGATATGTGATCTCAATTTCCTTCAAGCCTACGACGATGGTAAGGTTCAAGTTTTATTATGTCTTCACGGAACCATTCCAATCACATATAGATCAACGCCATACAATATCCCGGTTGCCTTTTGGATTCCGACGGAATATCCTATGGTTCCTCCGATCGCATTCGTGGTTCCGACACCTAGTATGTTAGTAAGAAAGTCGCAATTTGTTGATGTCAGCGGTCGTTGTTCTCACCATTACTTGGATAATTGGAAATCATCACATAGTGAGGTTTGTATGAAATTAATTATATTATATATATATTATTATATATTGTTTCTATTGTTTACAAAGATACTCAATCGCTTTTTTGATATTCCTCCTTTTTTTTTGTTTTGATTTCACGTAATTTTTAAGGAATCAAATCTTAAGACACTTTGTTCGCTTTTACAACACATATTTGCTCAAAGTCCACCGGTATATACTAGACCTACATCACAAACATCTCCACCTACACCTCCACCACCTCCTCAATTATTACAGCCACTGAATGGAGGACAAAATCCATTGTCATCACCAGTCCTTCGAGCGTACTCTTCACAATCCCCAACACCACCCCCTTTACCTCCGCCACCGTATCAACCTTCCTCAAATATTGGCGTAAATAGGCCAAGGAGTCATAGTTCCAATATTCCGCCTGTTATGTTAAATTCACGTTATGCAGTTACGTATTGGTTTTTAAATTTATTAGTCGTGTTTCAGTTTTTTCTTAATGTTTATTAACATGACGAAACTTTTAAAGTCACAAAAACCAAATCATGGACCACCATTACCACCGTCAAGAGGTTCTTCACATCCACCAACTTCTGTTGAATCTCAACTTACTGTACCAAGTATACTTGATACACCAGCACCTCCTATCGTTACACCGCCACCAACAACTCAAAATCCAGAGTTGGTGCAATTACAATCATCGGTTTATGATAAAGTGAAACAGAAATGTGAAGAATACGTTGAAAAATCATCACCAGAGTTTCATAGGATAATGTCATTTGGTGAACATTTGAATCAGAGTCAAGAAATTATTAAGGAAGAAAGGAGACAATTGGTTGATAAGGAAACAAAAATAAAAGAAAAGACTGAATTTTTAAAAGGAAAGATTGCAGAGGTTGATAAATTGATAGAACAAGCTAAAAATATGCCTGAAGTATCGGTTGATGATTTTCTATGCGGAACCACTATAGTTTATAATCAGTTAGGTATCTTTTATAATTTATTTTATTGAATGAAGAGGAAAAAAAGAAAAAAAAGCTATATTTACTGATAAAATTTTTATAATAATTGTAGATTATTTGATTTGGTAGCAGAAGACAATGCAATAGAAGATGCAACTTATTATTTAGGCAAAGCATTGAATAGTGGTAAAATAGATTTGAGTTCATACATGAAGGTAAATAATCTATATTTTATAAAACTTGATTTTATTGTTTTATTTGTTTATACCTTGCTGATTTTTAAAATAAAAATTATTTTAAAGAATATTCGTAGTCTTGGACGAGAACAATTTATGCGTAGGGCGTTAATTCAAAAGATTCGAAGACAGGCTGGATTGAACAAAAGTAATACACCATGATTTATGAAAGGTGATAATAGGTAAAGAATTAAAAGTGAATTAGGAAGATTACGAAATAGTTTTATTAGAAATATATTCTGACTTTGATTTAAATAAATTTTATATAGGAAAAGTTTTAAAAGGATTAAATTATTAAATGGAAAAAGCATCGAGCTTGTATAATTATTAAACATGTTGGTGGGTTGAGTTACTGATAGTGTAATATATAATTAATGCATTTATTTTTCCTTAATCTTCAACTACAATAAAAATTAACATCAAATTACGTTATTAAATTTCACTTTTATTTTTTTATTTTTTTTTTTTTTTTATTATAGATAAATGTCGAATATCTTTGTATTTTTATTTTTACTTTTTTTTTTTGTATAAAAATTGGTTTAATGACGTATTCAATGAAATGATTAAAAAATTTCGGATAATTTCTTGTTCAAAGATATAATTAGTTTTAAGGTCTAATTAATTTCAATATCAAAATATCTACAACCATTGAACATTTCAAAATTTGTATTGTAAAAATCAAATATCATGTTTTTTTAAAAAACTAAAATTAAAATTCGTTAATCTTCAGGGTTCATATATTATATAATGTTGAATTCAGTGGTATTTCTTAAAAAGTTCATGTTCAACTTAATCTTCCAGTCTTTTGACATGACATATAGTACAATAATTTTTAATTCTGTCGTCTTAATTGATATAACAAGTATCCTCTTGCAAAAATTTCCTAGAATTTGTTTATAAAATGTTAAGTGAGCTATTAATGTTTATTCATTTTCAGGCAATTCTACTACAACTGGTGCATACTCCCCTTCTTCCTCCTCCTCCCTAGCTATTTCTTCTTCAACAATTCCCCAATGAAATCTTTGATTAAGAAAACCTCTAAACTTTTCAAATCGACGCCTTAAAGCATGTAACTTTTGTGAACCTTGTTGTTGTGATGATGCACTTATCGAAAAAAACGAGTCCAAAATATTTCGACGAAACATCTAATTAAAAATTATAATAAATATATTGAATTTTTAAGAGTTACTCATTATTATTATTTCGCATTATCTGTTACCTTTAATGAATGAACAAGATAATTATTTTCAGCCAAAATTTCATGAAAAAAATCTTGCGGACATTCTTCAAGTTGATAATTTAACACATCTAACAAAACAAAAAATTTTTAAAATTCATGAATTACAGAAAAAGATTTTAGACAAATAAATAAATGTACCAATGAACTCAATAAATAATGTATCCGCAAATTTCTCTAATGCTTCTTGACATGAACAAATCAATTGCACCAGATTTTTAAACTGCACGAATCCCGCATAATTCTGTGCCATTAAAAGACATACGAAAGATAATTGCAATTCTCCTAATAGTTCTTTGTAATCTGATTATAAATTTTTTACTGTTTTAGATAAAAACTTCATATGACGAAAACAAATAAGGAGAAGAAATATATATATTATTATTATTACATACCATTATCATAAGCTTTTCTTAACAACTCGCCCAAAAGCCAACTTTTATCTTGGCTATATTTTGTGACCTCTTGACCCGTGGCTCCAAGCTTCCAACTTTTTTTGAGGTCAAATTTTGTAAATAATATAATATCACTTTCTCCATATCTCGAATCACCTAAATTAATCAGCTCTTCTTCGTCAACAGTAGATGATGAAATATTAGTCACTTTCCCTTCATTAGGCAAGATAACAGAAATGAGACGAGGAGTTATATAATTTGTTAGGCGAATCCATTTTTGCCAATTTGTTGGCGGTGATAAAGGATATGGTCCCAAAAATGGATCGAATTGACGCATGTCTATATAAAAGAAGTAAAAAATTTAAAAATCCTTTTTTTTTTTTTTTTTTTTTTTTTTTTTTTTTACGTTATAATTTACCTATTTTTAATCGCTCGATTTGCTCTGGATCAAGTTGTTCGCTTTTTTTAACATCTTCTAATGCATGATCCCAATCTTTTATTACTATCTAAAACAAATAATATAATAACTAACCAGTAAAAATAATACATTTTACTAAAAGTGTGACAAATTTACCTCCTTTGATTCATAAAATTTGAAAAATCCTGTTCTAAGTCCGGAAGTACCAGTTTTGTCTGAAGTACTATGAAAAATAAAATAAATTTAATAAAACTAAAATGTCTCTGTGTGAGAAGAATAATATGGATTAATAGTACAGCTAACCTATAAAATACGAAATGTAACCCAGGAGGAATGAGCTTCAATCCCTTGAACTTTGGTCCTATTTTCCATGAGTTATAATCTATGCCGAACTTTGAAAAAAAAAATAAAATAAAATGTTAAATAATTAACCAGGAAAAAAAAAAATTTTTTTTTATAGTAAAAATAATATTCAACCTCCAATCCTTCGGGCGCGTTCAAGAAAAGCAAGAACGCGCCTTGATTGAATAAAGCTTGCGCTGTTTCTTGGTCCATCGAAAAGACTTTTATTTATGAAGAATTGAAAGAATTTAATTACACGTATGATCGACATTACATTGTTGTGGAAGATAAAGGAACAATCACGTCAATTTCGGTTGATCAGAAAATTTTTTATTATTATTATTTTGAAATTATATAAATAATATAAATTATATTACATTGTTAGAAATTCTATATAGTTTTTCAAAAATCAAAAATCCTTAAATAATAAGGGTTGATAAATATTTACAATTACTTTCTTAAATAAAAAAAAAAAGCTTCATTCATTTTCAGAAACGGCAGTTGCAAGTGCCAGGACTTTTCCTTAATCTTTTAAAATCAGACAAAACATTATCCCATATTTCATCATTATAGAAAAAATACTTGTTGTAGCTTTGCTACAAACAGGTAAAGTTTCCTACTGAATGAAGTTGGGAATCGTGTAACCTTTTAAGTAAAGTTTTTTATTTTTGAGAATTGCTTTTGATTGAATTATGGGATTCAAAAAATAATCGTGATACAATCATTTCATTGATGTGACATATCCCGTGACCACGCGTTCTTTGATCAACCCAACTTCCTCCGTCGTTGTTTTTTTATAATTCTCTTCGATGAACAATAATAATTCGTTGCTTATCGTAGCATTTGTAAGTTTGTTAATAGGCTTCGTACTAGGAAAATCATTAAAAAAATTACCTAAAAATGTAAGTAAACTAAAAATCTCTTTTGACTTCTCTGAAATTATCCTTCTAAAATTAATTGAATTGTTTTTTGATAGTATGATAATTCCTCATCCTCAATAAATCCAAATGATTTTGATGAATTTAAATTAGTAATTATAACATATATATGACCTTTTTTGCTTTAGCCATAAACTTTTTAATTTGCGAATGATTTCATAGGTATTATTAATTCGAAATGACCTGGGAATGACAAAAGGAAAAGTGGCAGCACAAGTAAATTGTTTCGCTTTCATTTCTTGTTAAAAGTATAACAAATAATTTCTACTATCTATTAACGCGTTTTCATATGATGAGATAGTGTTCTCATGCAACATTAGCATGTTATCAATCGTTGCAAAAATCAAATCCTCAGGTAAATTAAAATTTTGTCAAAATTTATTCGAGATCATCTAATCTTATTACTTTTTATAGCTATTAGAAGCATGGGAAACTTCAGGACAGCCTAAAATTACATTAAAAGTTAAAGATTATGATGAAATGTGAGTAACATATTTAGAATCAAAATGCAATATTTTATGAATATTTCTAACACTTGATGTTTACATTATAGGTTATCATTGGCAAATAAAGCAAAAGAATTTGGATTATGTGCTAAAATAATTCGAGATGCTGGACATACACAAGTTGCTTCCGGATCTTCTACTGTACTTGGCATTGGTCCAGGTAATATCATAATTAAAATATGACATTTAAAGGACCAATTTTATTTAATAATTTTTTATTTTATTCTATTTAGGACCTGTGGAATTGATTAATGATGTTACAGGACATTTGAAATTATATTAAAGCGTTAATGCAAAGTAGTTACTTATGTAAATAGATTTGATTTGATTTTGTTTTATTTTATTTTTGCAAGGTCCAAAGATAGCTCCATATGGTGTCAATAATAGTAAATATTAAACCTCTTTTTATAAAAATTCCAAATAATTAATCCAGGTTAAAAATACGCCAAGCGAGCAAAACCTTAGCAAATTATTATGTTATAAATTATCAAACGAAAAAAAAAAGACTTGATGCATTGAATAATATTACTGATTTATTATATTAATGATTTGGAACTTTCTTCGATGATTCATGAACTCGTGCATTAATGTTTTTGAGTATAGTATCTCCTCATATTGCTTATGTTCATGAACGATTTAAAAATTATGTATTAAAGTATGTAGATTTATAATTTATTAAATATTTCGTTGATGCAATTATCCAAAGTTTTATATGATCATGTGTAATTTTCTTTATAAACAATAAACATTTCATTTTACAATTGAAAAAATTTTTAATTCTACATTTAAATGTTTCTTTTTGATTTGCAAGCAATATAAAAAAATTAGAAAATCAGGATTATAAAGAAATAATCATATTATTATCAAACAATTATTCGTCAGGAACTAAAAAGTTTAAATTTAATTAGTAAACTTTTTTTTTTTTAAGAAAAAAAAAAAAGGAAAAAACAAACCTTCAACTTCTCCAGACTCAATTAATTCACCAAGATCTTTAGGGTTTTTACTAAAATAATTTTTTAAAAAAAAAATTAAAATCGAATAAGTCAATTAAATAAGATAAAATAAACAAAGAAACGTGAATTCAATTAAACAAAATGCCAACCCGTCAACAGTACAACCAACGCTGTTACATGTGCCCAAAATTTCCTTTACTGTTCCCTTGAGACTTTTAGCGAAAGACTTTGAACGCATAGTACGAGCAATTTCAATCACTTCATCTAAAGTAATATTTCCGGAGTGTTTAATATTCTTTTCCTTTTTACGGTCTCTAGGTGGCTCTTTAAGAGCTTTGATAACTAAAGATGAAGCACTTGGTACTACGGAAACTGCTGCTTGACGATTTTGAATTGTCAATTTAACAGTCACACGTAAACCCTTCCAATCGGCTGTAGCCTTAGCAATGTCTTCACCAACCTTTTTGGGGGCCTTTATTTTTTTTTATTTTTTTAAAAAAAAAAAAAAATTATTTCATTTAGATATCGGATCTTTTAATAGATTTAATTTGCTTCTATTAAATATATCTATCCGAAAAGATCTGATATTATCAATTAAAATCTAACGTACCAAACCTAGAGGACCAATTTTTGGAGCTAGAGCACTTGAAGCACCAACTTCACCACCAGTAGCTCGAAGGTAAACTTTAAACGATTATTTCGTATTATTTGATTGATCCATTTACATATATTAACCAAAACATCAATTCATTAAACATTAATTAATACTCAACTAATCTTCACTTCATTTGGATCGATTTTGGGCGCCATTTGTTGAGTATTTTTCTTCCCAACGGCAAAAAAGGAAGATCAAAAAATTTTTTCGAAAAAAAATTTTATATCGCAAATTTGTGAAACATAGATATCATTTGTCACATGACATATTGGTGCGAATTAAGAAATAAATTTTATATTTCCACATTTTTTAAGATAATTAATATAATTTTAAATTTTTTAAATTTTAGGATATGACAACTTTCAACAAAATTGAAACTAATATTGCATATAAATATTTAGAAAAAAACTATATCAGTGAAAGAATCTGAATTTGAAGCAGTTAGAGAAATTGAAGAGTAATTAAGAAAGTTGAATTATAAAATAAAAATAAAAGAAGATGAGAAAGAAAGGTGAGAAAGAAAGGTGAGAAAGAAAAGAAGTTTTTAAAAAAGGATTAAATAAGAAAATAAAGATTATAAAAAGGAAAAGAGGAGCTTGTAGAGAAGAAAAATCAATAGATAAACTGAATGATTAAATTATAAGATGTATTAATTAATTCAATAAAAAAGAAAATAAAAAAAATTTCATAAAAAAATATATAATGAATTATTTTCTATTTATATTAATTTGTATTGTTTTTATGAATATATTTTTATTTTCATACTCATAACTAAATATTATTCAGATATATATATTTTTTTATTAAATACAATTAAGATAAAAAAACAAATTTCTACTTATTATTAATTAAGTTTATTATATTAACATTAGAAATATATCTTAAAATAATAGATAAAATTATATCAAGTCCTTCTAGATAAACAAATAAGTAAAATAACAAGTAAAAAGATGGATTTTGATTCTGTATTATTGATCAATAAATGCATCTATTATTTCAATTTATTTTTATTATAATATATTTGAAAAATTTATCAAATTAATATAAAATTATTAAGTATCAAAAAGAAAATATGATCTTATACTTAAACTGATATTTATAATATCTTAAGTATTTTCAGATATAGATAAAAAAGCAAATAATTTTAAGCATTAGCTTAAATTATTTTTTAATAATAAAATAGAAATTAAAAAAAAAAAAATCAAATATTACTTATTCATCTTTATAAATTGATTAGTGAGTAACTAAATAAAAAAATATTTATCTAAAATTAGTAAAAGTAGAATTTTTTTAACAAACTTAGAAATTTAATTTAAGCTTAATATAAATGGCAATTTTTATACTTAAAATATTATTTATTATAAAAAATTTGTAATTAAGTTTTAAATTTTTACTTATTTTCTTATTAATTTAAAAAATATATATTAATATTTAGAACTATTTCTATTAATGTAATTATCTTATAAACATTATTTTATTTAAATATCATTATTTATAATTATATTAAAATAGATAATATTATATAAATATTTTTATTTTAAAAAATATTATAATTCTATTTATAAATTAAAAATGAACCTTTTAAAGTTATTTTTTGATTTTATTTTTATGTATTAATAAAGTTAACTTAAAAGTAAAAACAATTATTATTAAATATAAAAGAAAATATTTTATAATTAAAATTTATAAATTATAAAAATTTAATTTAAAAATAATATAATAAGAATTTAATCAAATTCATCTAAAAATATTCTAAAAAAATACATAAAATATTTTAATTAAGTTTAATATTCAATTTTATAACCAATTAATAACTTTCAGCTAAACTGAAAATTATTATCTTAAAATATTTAAAGGTATTTAAAACATTGTATACTCTAATTCAAAATAGAAAATGTTATTAGAAATATTATAAAATTATTTTATAATTCTAATTTTATATATAAAGATTTTTGTAATATAATTATTATAATTAAATATAAAAATAGAAAAATTAATATTAAAATCATAGACTTTTATTAGACAAAAAAGAAGAAAAAAAGCAAATTATTCTAAAAGTTTAAAATTTTACTATTAACTAATTTTAGATATCAGTTAACAAAAATTTATTAATTAATTATATTTATTATAATATATAATAAATTTTTAAATAAATATAGTGTTATTTCTAAATAAATTTAAAAAAATATATAATAATTAAAATAAAATTAGCTTTATATATTTATATTTATTATTTGACAATTATTTTTTCTTTATATATTAGAAAAATTATTATAATATAATAATTAAAGAATAAAAACTAATTAATTAAATTATTAAAAATAAAATAATATATTACAATATAAATGCTATTACTTATTATAGTTATAATTAAGCTTAAAATATTTATTATATCTTAATTAATTAATAAATAAATAAGTAAATTAATTATTTTAGTTATATAAAATTTACTTATTTAATAATAAAATAATAAAAAAATTGATAAGTAATTGATATTAATTATATTGTAAATGATAATTGATTATACATTAAGATTATTATTTTATCATATAATTGAAGATAATATAATATAATAGCATCTTATATATGTAAATCAATTATTATTTAAATAATAACTAATAATAAAATTATTAAATGTATGATATAAGTATTGATCCTTTTTTATATAAATATTATTAATTACTCAAACTTTTTTCTCATATTTTTTTTTACATTTTTTCGCAAACTTTTTAAATTTTTCTACTTTTTTAAAAAATTTTATAGAAATTATAAATTTTTCAAAATCTTTTAACTTCCAATACAGAGAAAATCAATAAATTATAATAAGTATAGCTAGTTTTAAATAATGAAAAAAATACTGTAAAGTAGCTTTGAGTTATTGAAAGGTTTAATAAAATTGTAATATATCGTAAGCTATAAAATTAATTGAACCTATTAATGAACTTATAAGATTTATTTTTATCAATTTATAATTTGATTAAAAAAAGAAGATAATTCTGATTATAAAGTCAAATCTGTATATAATTATTATAGTATAAGAAATAAATATCTTAAAGAATATAATATTCTTTAACTAATAAAAATTTAGGATTGTTATAAGTTCTTTTGTGCTCTTTATATACTTAATAAAAAGTTAGGTAATTCTAAAATCTGATGATTTATTTAAAAAAGAAATTAAATAAATACTTGATTATCTATAAATAGATATTAATATTAATAAATTACTTATTCAATAAGTCTTTTTTAACTATGCTTAATATGTGATTATATAATAGTGATATATATTTAAATTTATAGAAAAGATCTTATATATTGTTAAGATGAAGTTTTATTCTAAATAATATAGTAAAAATTTTATATATTTATATTATTTAATATTTTATATAGAAGAACAAAGCAAACAAGTTTAGCTAGTTAAAATAAAATATTAATTTAATTATATTATTTTTTTTTAAATTTAATTATCTATATTTTATTTTAAAAATTTTCAATTTTTAATCTATCTTCTTACTATTATTCTCAATTATTTACTAACTCAAAACACATTTTTCTTATAATTATTATAATAAACCTCTTCTTATTATTATTTTTCTTTTTTCATTTTCATATTTCTTTCAAATATTATCTCTTCTTTTGATTTTTCTTTTATTTTATCTATTTTATTATCTTCACTCA